CGGGGATTGCGCGTTAGGGTTTAGGCCAATAGCGCTTACCGGGTCTAGGGCTGGTGTTTAAGATTCTGCGTTTCCGTGATTTGCAACTTGGAGTTTGGGGATTGGGTTTTGAGGATGTGTTTTTTTCTGCGCCCAAGCCTTATACCCAAATCCCGAAACCATCCTAAAGTGTAATCTCCTCATCGTCGTTGCCGCCTTCGGCCGCGATGTCCCTAACTTCGGGTGCTGTCGCGGAGAGGCGCTGCAGCACGATGAGCCTTCGGCTAGCGGCTAGAAGCTTGTTAAAGCACTGGGGCTTACGGTTTAGGGCCTCTAAAGTTTACATAGGGTTGAGGGTTTAGCGTTTAGCGGTCAGGTTTTAAGATTGAAAGTGTTGGGTTTAGGGTCATGTGACCACAAAACAATGCTCACTACATCTTCCTACTTCTCTGATACGGCAATTCAACTCAAGGTGAGGTTCTCTGTTGCGCTAGCCCTGTCATAACACCCCAAGTCTGCATTCACCAATATTCCAGCGAACCCAGCATACACAAACCAAGACCATGACATTAATCTCGTCAAGCTCAAAACCTCATGAATAGCCCTCAGCCTTAAACACAATACTAAGCGCCTAAACTCCTAAACCCAAACCGTAAATTCACACCTGTGGCACTATGAAAAGTTTGAGCGGTGCATATTGTTTCGGGCCTCCAGAGCTTTTGGAAGAAGGAGGAGGACGCTCTTAGAGGTCTCCTACCATGCCTGCTGAGGGATGTTTGGAGTTCGGGTATTTGTATGTGAATACGTTCTTACAAATATCAGGCCATAAAACCCGAACTCCTAGCTTCTTTCTGCAGGACCCAAAATCCTGATCAGTATCTGTTTTTTCTTTTTGGAAAGCTGACTTTCTGAATGCTTGGCGAATCCTTCCAAACCTCCAATATCCTAGACCCAAACTTCCTTTCTCGATCCCCTAAGCCTATACCCTACACCCCGAAACAGCAACACCCTGTCTTATATGAATCTGTGTGTCAAAAGCCTGCAGCCTCAACCCGCAATTTCTGCTGAACCCACAAACCCTAAAACCTGAACCTTTTCTTAGGTTCTTACCTGCAAGCCTACCCTACACCCGAGTAGCTTCCAATCATGCTTCCTCCAACCCGTTCTTGCCTGTATCTTTTTGTCCTCACCCTAAACCCTACACCCTGCAGCCCAAACCCTAAACCCTTTACTTTGTCCGAGTGGCTGCTCCTCCAGTCTATAAAGCTTCCTCTGCGGCCCGTGCCGGCCCAGTCGCTGCAGAGGCCAAGCTCCCAAACTCTGCCAAGGACCCTGGCACTTCTCTCCCCGTGCAAGTGTAGGGTGTAGGGTGTAGGGTGT